AATCCTAGCACTCTGGGAGGCCGAGGGGGGAGGATCACTTGAGCTCAGGAGTTCAAGACCAGCCTGAGCAAGAGCGAGACCCCGTCTGTACTAAAATTAGAAAAATTAGCTGGGCATGGTGGTGCACGTCTGTAGTCCCAGCTACTCGGGAGGCTGAGGCAGGAGGATCGCTTGAGCCCAGGAGTTTGAGGTTGCAGTGAGCTGTGATGACACCACTGCATTCTACCGGGGGCAACAGAGAAAGACCTTGTCTAAAAATATATATATTTTTTTTCTTTGCAAATGTTTAATATTGAGTAAAATGCAGAAGTTAAAAATATCAGTACCTAGCACATCATTATTGAAATTCACATTATTTGTTTAGATGTACATGCTTATTATCCATGCCTGGATCTCCCTGGAAGGATAACTCCAGAAATTCTTTGAAGCGGTTGCCTCTGGCAAGGAGACCTGGGCAAATAGGAAAGACTTACTTCTCCCTGTCTCCTTTTAGATTGTTTGAATTGTTTTGTACTCTGTGTGTAGGTGTGTGTTTTAATGTTTTTTCTTTCCTTTCTAAGAAAAAACACAGGCTTACCTGGTTTCAAGTTCTGGCTCTGGCTCTCATAGCTGGGCAAGGTACTTCACTTCTCTGCGCCTTGTGTTCTGCTCTATAAAGGGAAGGATAATACGAACAGCTACCTCGCAGGGTTGTTGTAGAGGGTTCAACAAGACAATGCAAGCACAGGTCCTTGTTGGTTATTAATCTGTTACTAGGGCACCAAGGAGGACTGCAACAGGTACCACCAGAGAGCCTCAGACCAAGCATTCAGAGATGCCCTCCAGCTGGGAGAAACTAGGAAAGGCTTCCTGGGAGAGGCAGCGTTTGAGAAGGGCTTCAAGGACAAGCAGGATTTCCACCAGTATAGATGAATGGGGGCGATGTTCCTGGCAGGGAGTCACGCAAGCAAATGGCGGGAAGTAGGAAAGCCCTGGATATTCAATCCCTGAGCAGTCACTGGCTCCTGCCACGAAGCTTAGCTGAGCACCTACTATGCACCAGACACTGCAGTGGGAGACACCAAAAGCCAAATGGCTGGGCCAGCCTAGGGACGAATTACAGAAGGTACAGTGACAGTGACAACGAGGGGCTGGGACAGAGCTTTGCCCAGGTCCCAGTGCTCATAGAGCAGACCAGGAAAAGGAGGCTCAGAGACGGAGAGGGACTGCCCAAGATCACACAGCATGTTCTCAACTTCTGAAAATAACCTCTCTCAGCTCCACCCTCTCCTCACCCCATAGACCTGCAGAAAAAAAACAGGGGCCCTCCTGACACGCATTCATCACAGGGTGGACGGGTGCCGAATACACTGGGGGCCCCGAGAGGAGGGACAGTTGGCTCTCAGACAGCAAGAACAGCTACCGTGTGTGGCGGGCACCACGCTAAGAAGCGCGCTATAGATGCATGAGCCCAGGCAAACCCGCCCCAGTGCTCTGTGGTGAGCCCCATTTTGCAATGAGGAAACTGAGGCGCAGAGGTCCAGCTGCTTGTCTGATGTCACATAGACAGTGTCGGGAGGCAACCTGGATTGTCTGGGCTCCCAGTCTCTTCCCCAGGGCCCCTCCCCTAAAGGAGGCACCCGCAGGGCCTCCAGCAGCAATCAGCAATCGCACCCTGTCAGAAGGGCCCTAGGTGGAAGCTGTTCTCAGCTGGTCCAGGAATGTCCCTTGATAACAGTGGCCCAGGGGGAGAGAGTGGGCAATGTGCGGGACATGGAGAAAGGAGGCGGTGGGTGGGGACCCACTGGCCATCCGTCTGCCAGAAGAGGGCAGAAGGCTGCATCAGGCACCTGCTCCAGCCAGGTGGGGGCATCATGGTTAAGGGGGGCCCTGGGCAAGTCGACCAAAGCTTCCTTTGGAACCGCAGAGATGCCCACATCGTCCTCAGGCAGTTGCGAAGGCGAACGAGCTAATGTGTGCAAAGCCCTGGGCACACAGGCCGTGCTGGGTAACAGGGGGCCCTTACTGTCACTGCCAGCATTACCACTCTCGTTGTCACAGTTAGCTCTCCAGTTCTCACCAGGACCCCACTACACAGTGACAATCAGCCCCCTCTTCCAGAGGAGGGGACAGAGAGAGGCTCAGAGAAGCCGTGTCAGGTGCCTGGGCCACCATCCAAGACCGCAGAGGGCCGGCTGTGGCCCCTGCCTCTCCTGGCTCCAGGCCACGGTTGGCACCTCTCCCTGGGCCCACTGGTCCCAGCTGGGCTCACACAGGAAGTCCTTATACCAGGGACTAAGCAGAGTCCCTTAGCCAGCCCATTTTCCAAAGGGCAAATGGAGGCCCAGAGAGGGAGAGTGGCTGGCCCAAGGCCACACAGCAGGCCAGGGAGCAGCCCCAATCCTCCAGACTCAATAGACCTCTCCCCCCCACCCTGTTGGCCTCTGAGCTGAGCCTGGCTAGTGTCAGTGCTGGGTCAAGGAGCCTCAGAAGGACCACTCTGGAGTGAGTGTGTGACCCCTCGGACCTCCCAGGGCTGGGTCCCAGCTGGTGCCACACACTCCTCTCAACAGCCCTATGGGGCAGGTCCCCACCAGCAGTGGCCCTATCCACAGAGGGGGAAACTGAGGCTGGGAAGGGCACAAGAGGGCACCAGCCCAACCTGCCCATTTTGCAGATGGGAACCGCGTCCCCTCTGGGCCCAACGCCCTCTTCCTGCCACACCCCAGTGGAAACTGCCCACAGGCAGGGATTGTCACCTAGTTCTCTGTGTGTCCTTCACACCATCAAAAGAATTACCTGCTCAACTGGGTGTTTTTCCACAAGTGCAGAAATGTAGAAAGGACAGCTACTTCAGGGAGAATCTGAGTAATGGTAGTAGTGATAGCTAGCATCTATTTAGCACCTACTGTGTGCCATTATTACCGCACTGTACAGCTGAGACCGAAGTACAGACAGGTTAGGTGATGTGCCTAAGATCCCACTTCTTAGCACCTGCGTGACAAGTCCCCACACCTCTGAGTGTCTCCCTGGCGGGGGCTGCCACCCACAGCTGCTGGGAAAGGCCAGCAGCCGGGACCAGGGTCTTCTTGGCAGGGTCCGGGGCCAGTTCAGCCCCTCCCCAGAACCCACCGTTGTCAGCTGCCCTGGTGCAGACTGGGGTGGAACGGGGTGTGCTGACCGCGGTGTGGAGGCCCACGTTTCCCCCGGGCTTCTCCCCCCTCGCCCTCCCGCCTGGAGTCCACGCCACCCCTCCAATGCTCCCAGCAGCGCTGACACAAGCTGTGGCCACTCGTTTTACATGAGGGCACGGGGGCTCCAGGAGGCTGCTCCAGCCAGAGAGGGGACAGCCGGGGTGCAACCCAGATCCAAGTGACACCAAAGCCCATCCCCCGCCCCCCACTGCACCTGCAAGGAGAGCAGGATGGCAGCTCGGAGGGGGCACAGCCGCAGAGGCCGGAGGCAGGAGTGCAGAATACAGGGGCCTATCAAGTCCCGGCTTCACAGGGTGGCTGCGGGCCTTCGGCCCAGGCACGAGGAGGCTCAGGGGAGACCCCAAAAGGGGTCTGTTCAGCAATTCACGTCGGGAAGGCCTAAAAGACTGAGGGGGGCCAGGAAGGTTTTCTCAGGTCCCTGGGGCTGGGGAGGTCACGGCCCGGAGGCCCCACCCACAGCGATCCCATCAGAGCACAGCCATCTCCAGCTCTGCAGGGGCAAGAGGAGACACCTAAACCACGGTGGGCCTCCCAGAGGAGAGGACATCTCGGCTGAGGCCCACAGGCAAGGCAGTTGTGAAGAGAAGGCGGGAGCGTGGTCCAGGCCGATGGGACCACTCACCAAAGGCCTACAGGTGGGCCACTGGACCAAGGCAGGGGGCCCGTTGGTTTGAGTCAGGCAGCCTCAGTTTCCTCGACAGCAAAATGGGAGAAAGACAGGCACACAGAGTGGCTTCGCCTTCCCCATACTTACTTCCCACCACCCCTGTCTCCTCCAAGGCTATGGCCAAGAGTGTGGTCACCAAGGAAGGGGCTGCTGGGCCCTCTTGGGGCCAGTGAGGTTGGTAGGTTTGGGGGAGCGTCAGTGACCCCCAACCCCAGCTTCTAGCCCAGAGTCTACCACGAGGCCAGGTCACAGCCCCAACCTCAGGGAGCCGTTGGGAGATACGCCCTTTCACAGATGAGGCTGGGGCTCAGAGAGGGGGCTGCCCAGCCCTGGGCCACACAGCAAGGCTGAGGCCTGCCCTTGAGGAAGGGTGTGGGCAGGGGGCACTGGCACCAAAGGTAAGATTCTTGGGGCACCAGACCCAAGAGCACTGTGCTAAGGAGGAGCTAGAAGAGGAGACACCACCCCCAAGGGGCCCACAGACCATCACGGCCCGGCCTGCTGAGGGCTAACCGCCTGCAGCTGAGCGGAAGGCCCCCATCGGAATCTCTGTGTGACAAGTCACGACCCCAGCCTGGGCCTCAGCATCTGTGCCTGCACCCAGAGGGCCAGGCACATCAAGGATCCCTTAGCAGACGCCCCCAGTATCAGGAGGTGACAAGGTTCGCTTTCTCCCAGCCCAAGGTCATCAGTTCCAGGGTCCACAGCTGCTCCACCCCCGCTGGCCGATGGCTGATGGGCCCTGGGGGTACAGGCACCAGCCGGCCCCTGCCCACGGCACCCGCTGTTCCCTGCCAGCCGCTCTGGCTGCTTCTCGGCTCGGGGAACACAGTGCCACTCCTCCCCACCCACGCCGTGCAGGCACGTCCCTCCAGGGACACTGGTGGGCAGGAGCACACAGTGGCCAGGCCCCTCCACACAGTCCTCTCTGCCTGTGTGACTGCAGGAAGGTCCAGCCTCCCTTTACCCATCCACGAAATGGGGTCTCTGGCAGATCTCTGCGCCTGAGGTGGGGGGACGGTGGCCAGCAAGATGGTCCAAACCCTCATCGCTCCTGCCTGCTGCTCACAGGGCCAAGGCCAGACTCGGCTGGAGGAGCCTGCTGCACGCTGCTGCCTCCCTCCGCCCTCCCCTCCCTTAACTCTAACTATCCTCCAGCCTCCAAGCCCCTGCACATCACCCACCCCACCCCACCTCCATGTCCCCCCATGAACCCCAGGATGCCCTCTGGGCCTGATCACAGGCAGTACCTGAACTTCCTTGCTCCCTAGGCTGAGAGAGGTGAGAGAGGTACCCCCCTTTTCTGGGCTCACACAACCCCCATCACATGGGGATTAAGAGCTGGACTGCTGGATTCAAAACCCTGCTCTGGACGTTCCTTGCTGTGTGACCTTGGGAAAGTTACTCCACCTCTCTATGCCTCTGTTTCCTCCCCTATAAAATAGGGATAAACATAACAACCCATTTCAAAGGGTTGTTGTGAGGATTGAATGAATTCATATAGGTGAAGTGCTCAGGACAAGGCACTGACCCTAGCAAGTGCCCTAAGTGTTTGCTATCAATCAAAGTCATAGTAGCAGCTATTACGTGTTGAGCACCTACTATATGCCAGGCCCTGTGCTCACCATCTTACCTGAATTACTGCACAACAGCATGGGAGGCAGGGCTGTTCTGAACCTCACTTTATGGCAAGAAGAGGGAGGCCCAGAGGCATCAGCTTCACCATCAAAATATATCTGGAGAGAAGGGGATTTTGCCAACATAATGAAATTATTGTTGGCTGGGTGCA